TATACTTAATGCTTGTTGTTAATCTGGCCAATTAGCATATGCCTTTAGGTTGATTTGAGCCTCGACAGTGCTGTATCATTCGCCTGAACTAGTATTTGGTGGGCAATCTCTTTTAGACTGCGACAGTTGATCTACTTGTAGGTTGTGAACAATTGATCTTGATCGAACTAATGCTTGATTTAATCACCTAGGGACATACCAAAAGTTTAGCGACTAGGTAGATTAACAAAGGGGTCGGAGCCTCGACAGTGGAATGATCATACCATAGTGTTTCAAGTTCTAGATTAGCACCTAAGTGCGGTAACCCTAATTGATTGATTTCATGCTTCTTGAATTGCTTATCTCAAGACTATCCTATTGCTTAGCCTTTCTCTCCTATTGAATTCTCACTTTTATTACTTGCATGCTTTACTTTCTCTGCACTCAACCAACTTATACTTTTGCCCTAGCTTGTTCTTCAAACTCATAACTTGTAGTGTGCAATCTGGTCCTTGTGTTCGATACCCGTTTACTACTTCTGACCTGTGCACTTGCAGAATCAGGGATAGGAAAGGGGAAGACCTGATCCCGCACATCAAGTTTTTGGCGCCGTTGCCGGGGACCAATTCGCACCTACAAGTTCTTGCAAGAGAGCTAGTCTAGGGTTTTCATCTTTTCCTTTTTGCTTTTTGTTAGATTTCCTTTTTTCTTTGATTTGGTTTTTCCTTTTTGTTTTTAGCTTTTCAGGTTTTCCTAGTTAGATATGGAGAAGGAGCCACAAGCCTCTTCCCCTATAAAGGCGATGCCATTCGCCACATACCACCTCAAAGCCACCTCTTGAGCGAACAAGAGATGTTAACCCTCAAGCACCACCACCTTCATGGGATAGTCCTCCAAGACCATCCTCGTATCAAGACCTAAAACATCCCAAAGGCCGGGATGGGAAGATCAACACTCTGGGATTGGAAGACAAAGACGTTGGATCTAATCCAGAGATCACAACGAAGACTTGGATCAAGACAGGATCAAGAACGATCGAGCAGAAGTGAAGATACAGCAAGATTGTCCAGGTGGGACGATCATTGTACGAACATGGGAAGAGTCAACAGGACGACGAAATATCAAAGTTCTCCAAATCAAGAAGAGAAGAGTTTGGACGACATAAGAGACCATTCTAAGAAGTTTGGTCGAAGCAGAATGCAAATCGGACGAGCAGATTGAGAGATGGGACGGACGCCAAGATCTATCCCGCAACGACTGCAAGAAGCGTAAATGTTCGGGATGGAGGTATTCTGCACATTTCCAAGCAACTATGTGGAAGCTCAGAAACATGGAAATGAGAGAAGGATCACAATAGGAGATTTTAATTCTCAAGCACGACGGGGACGAAACCCTCCGGACAGGGAAACGTACGAAACCCTCTGGACGAGGAAACGTACATTGGAGTAATCTTGTTCTAAGCCAATCAAGTGGTGACACCAGCTACTTGGAGAAGATAAGGATGATCATAACCAATATGGAGAAGACATGCAGCTACTACAATGGAGCCAAAACCATTCAGCCAATCAAGTAGAGACATTGAGCTATTGGAATGGGACGAAATTGTGTTGGACCAATCGTGCGTCAACACTACCTGCTAGGAGAGAGTGAGGCCGTGGATAAGCATTCTTATTGGATGATCTTATCCAGAAATGGACGAATCAAATGGAGATACACAGCAGCTTCTAAGACGGGCCAATCATGTAGCAACATCCAGCTACTGAATGAAGACGAAGCAAGCCTAAACCAATTGGGCAACGACACCAGCTGCTATGGAGGAGAGAGGGCGTGGATAAACTCCAAGAATACCTAATGCTATCAGGGAGAGACACCCAGCTGCTCATGAAAGACAAGGATTGTCCAAACCAATCAGACGGAGACACAAAGTGCTCAATGGTGACGAAATGGACTTGGACGAATCAGGATGCAACACCAATGATATACCTCTAATTTACCCACTTTTTATACTGTTTTAGCATTGTTTTCTAATGGTTTTTGGCAGGTTTTCAATCTAAAAAGGTAGTTTTTCTGTGTTTATAGTGTCTAGAGTCTAAACAGGTGAAATGATGCATTTTGGAGCAAAACCATAGGATTTGCACTTCAAGTCGCTCCATGCACAAGCACCAACTTCAAGAGGGCCCAGAAAAAGATCTACTCAATGGATTTCATCAAGACCAGTTCCCTGCGTGCTCTGATTGAGTTAACTTTCCAACGCAACTGGAATGGCCTCATTTGGATGAGTAGAAAAGGAGTTATAACCAAAAGAGTGAAGACTGTCCAGACGGCTCTATCGAGAAACAGCGCCCAACCGCGCAGTCCGGCTGGCCGAGAAACTATTGTTTCGCGCTCGGCCTAAATCATATACGTCCGTCTGAAGTCTCGGCCAAAGTTCGAAGTCAACCGGCCGATCACAAATCACGACCCAGGGAATATTGCCCCGCGGTCGGCTAAGCCACCATCACGTCACGCTGTTACGCGCACGACCATGCCGCGCGAGCCGGGGAACAAGGCCTCGCGGCCGCGCAACCCATTCGCGTACCACGGCCGATGCATCCGTCCGAGCCGGGGAAGATCGTCCCACGTGCGGCCGAGAAACCTTCGGCCAAATCTCAATCCGCCCGACCACGCCGGCCGACCGTGCAATCATCCGGCCACGACCGTTCCGACTCGGCCCAAGATCCACCTGACCGGCCGATGATATACCTCTAATTTACCCACTTTTTATACTGTTTTAGTATTGTTTTCTAATGGTTTTTGGCAGGTTTTCTATCTAAAAAGGTAGTTTTACTGTGTTTATAGTGTCTAGAGTCTAAACAGGTGAAATGATGCATTTTGGAGCAAAACCATAGGATTTGCACTTCAAGCCGCTCCATGCACAAGCACCAACTTTAAGAGGGCCCAGAAAAAGATCTACTCAATGGATTTCATCAAGACCAGTTCCTGCGTGCTCTGATTGAGTTAACTTTCCAACGCAACTGGAATGGCCTAATTTGGATGAGTAGAAAAGGAGTTACAACCAAAAGAGTGGAGACTGTCCAGACGGCTCTATCGAGAAGCAGAGCCCTACCACGCAGTCCGGCTGGCCGAGGAACGCATGTTCCGCGCTCGGCCAAAACTGTGTCCATCCGTCTGAAGTCTCGGCCAAGTCCGAAACCACTCGGCCAATCATGCATCACGACCCGGGAAACTTAAGCCCGCGGTCGGCCTCGCCACAACCGGCCACGCCACAGCTGCGCACGACCAAAGCGCGCGAGCTGGGGAGTAACGCCTCGCGTCCGGCCGAGAGATTTCATTGGCCAAACATCTATCCGCCCGACCAAGCCGGCCGACCGTGAATCCATCCGGCCCCTTTCTGAAGCCCAATTTCATATTTTCAAGCCCGGCTTAACCCTAAGCCGCCCTAGAGAAGACCTAGCACTATATATATAGATTTTTAGCCTCTTGTGAAAAGAGAGCCGCCTTATATTTCGATTTCCTACTCGATTTCATGCTTCACTCTAAGTTTTATTGCAATCATGTTTTCTTCATCTCTATGTGTGTTTGCTTTGATCATGTCTGAGTAATCCACTAGTTAGGTTGCTAGGGTTACTATTCAATGAGTTGCTTGCATGATCTTTGATTTCAATGATTAGCTAGGGATTAGATTAGAGTCTTTGTCTCGTCTTGTGCACTTAACTAATGCTGATTGCTTTACCGCGCATCTAGTAATCCGATCTTAGGTTGATTTGAGCCTCGACAGTGCTGTATCATTCGCCGGACATATTCTTTGACAAGCTAGGTTTCTTAGACTGCGAAAGTTGATCTATCTATATCTAGTGAACTGTATCAGAACCTATTCATTCTAATGCTTGATCTAATCACCTAGGGACATACCAAAAGTTTAGCGACTAGGTAGATTAGCAAAGGAGCCGGAGCCTCGAAAGTGGAATGGTTTTATATCGTGATCTGTGTTCTAGATGGTTCTTAATATCCCAATATCCCTAATCAATTAATCTATCATTGTTTGCTTCTCTGCGATAGCCCCTATGACCTAGCGCTTTTCCTTTATTGCTTACAACCTCGTTATACTTGCTAGTTCGGTTCACCATTACAACCTCAATCATACTTTTGTTTTAGCTTGCTCCAAAATCCATAGTACTGGGGGAGTTGATATACCTCTAATTTACCCACTTTTTATACTGTTTTAGCATTGTTTTCTAATGGTTTTTGGCAGGTTTTCTATCTAAAAAGGTAGTTTTACTGTGTTTATAGTGTCTAGAGTCTAAACAGGTGAAATGATGCATTTTGGAGCAAAACCATAGGATTTGCACTTCAAGCGCTCCATGCACAAGCACCAACTTTAAGAGGGCCCAGAAAAAGATCTACTCAATGGATTTCATCAAGACCAGTTCCCTGCGTGCTCTGATTGAGTTAACTTTCCAACGCAACTGGAATGGCCTAATTTGGATGAGTAGAAAAGGAGTTACAACCAAAAGAGTGAAGACTGTCCAGACGGCTCTATCGAGAACAGCGCCCAACCGCGCAGTCCGGCTGGCCGAGGAACGAATGTTCCGCGCTCGGCCAAAGTGTCCGTCCGTCTGAAGTCTCGGCCAAAGTCCAAACCACTCGGCCGATCACGCATCACGACCCGGGAAACAAGCCCGCGGTCGGCCGCCACAACGCCACGCCACGCCGCGCACGACCAAAGCGCGCGAGCCGGGAAAAAGCCTCGCGGCCGCGCAACTCGCGTCACGCCGAACGCTCCGTCCGACCCGGGAGAACGCCCGCGTCCGGCCGAGAGATTTCATCGGCCAAATCTATCCGTCCGACCAGCCGGCCGACCGTGAATCCATCCGGCCCCGACCGTTCCGACTCGGCCACAACCCGATTGTCCGGCCGATCGTCCCGCACGACCGTCCCAACGCCGCGGTCGACCCGAAGCCCTTTTTGAAGCCCAAACTTATGTTTTCAAGCCCGGCTTAACCCTAAGCCGCCTCTAGAAAGACCTAGCACTATATATATGGATTTTTAGCCTCTTGAGAAAGAGAGCCGCCCTGTATTTCGATTTCCTACTCTAAGTTTTATTGCAATCATGTTTTCTTCATCTCTATGTGTGTTTGCTTTGATCATGTCTGAGTAATCCACTAGTTAGGTTGCTAGGGTTACTATTCAATGAGTTGCTTGCATGATCTTTGATTTCAATGATTAGCTAGGGATTATATTAGAGTCTTTGTCTCGTCTTGTGCACTTAACTAATGCTGATTGCTTTACCGCGCATCTAGTAATCCGATCTTAGGTTGATTTGAGCCTCGACAGTGCTGTATCATTCGCCGGACATATTCTTTGACAAGCTAGGTTTCTTAGACTGCGAAAGTTGATCTATCTATATCTAGTGAACTGTATCAGAACCTATTCATTCTAATGCTTGATCTAATCACCTAGGGACATACCAAAAGTTTAGCGACTAGGTAGATTAGCAAAGGAGCCGGAGCCTCGAAAGTGGAATGGTTTTATATTCGTGATCTGTGTTCTAGATGGTTCTTAATATCCCAATATCCCTAATCAATTAATCTATCATTGTTTCATTGATCATTGCTTGCTTCTCTGCGATAGCCCCTATGACCTAGCGCTTTTCCTTTATTGCTTACAACCTCGTTATACTTGCTAGTTCGGTTCACCATTACAACCTCAATCATACTTTTGTTTTAGCTTGATCCAAAATCCATAGTTCAAAGTGTACTCAATAGCCAGTCCTTGTGTTCGATACCCATACTTCCGCGATCTGTGCACTTGCAGAGGTCTAGGAGTTTGGTAAAACCTGACTCCACATCAACCAACCACTGAGAGAGAGGAGAAGCTTCAGGAGTGGATGAGAAGCAAGTGGAGAGATGCAGAAACGGATTGGATCAAGAGCTGACCAATCAGACAGAAGCACCCAGCATCTTAATGGATAAGATGAGTTATAACCAATCGGCACGACACACCACATGCTTGGGGGAAGTCGGCTCATTGGATGAGCATTGAGAGGGGATAGGAATGACGTGTGTCATGTCCTGAGACGCCCTAGAGGCCACCAATCAAAGCTACCTAGCCTAGACCGCCTGGATGTCGCGTTCTGAGGCAGTGTAGGTCGCCACCAAGCAAAGCTATGCTAGGCCTAGGTCTCCATGTGTCTGCGCATGACTGGAGACGTCCCAAGAAGCCAGGCAGCCTCCTGAACTCCTATAAATACGCTCCTCCACCCCAAGTCCAAACCATTCCATTCCCAAAGCTAGAGAGCACCTGAAAAGTGATTAGAGAGTAATTAAGAAAGTTTTCTTAATTAAGTGAGGTTAGTGGAAGATTAGAGTAGGTCAAGATCAAAGCTTAAGGAAAGCTAGGAGGATCTTGAAGTCTTCTTAAAGTGGTGAGTCTTGGTGTTATAGTTTTAGTCTTTTGGATCTTTGTTTGTGTATGCAGGTTGTATGAACACCAAAGCATAGGAGATGCTTTCTGTTCATATTGGTTATTGGTTCTGTAGTATAACTCTCTAAACAATAAGGTTTAGTAAAAATTGTGGAGAGTTATGCTGCAGAAATTTATGTAATATATTGTGAGGTTGTGATGGGTAATCTTCTAGAGAGAAGTTATGCCGTCAGATCTCTTGTGTTGTGAGGTTGTGTCGGGTAACCTTCGGGGAAGGTTAGGCCGCCATCTCTTTGTGTGTGAGGTTGTGTTGGGTAACCTTCGGGAAGGATATGCCAACAGATCTCTTTTCTGTGTAAGATTGTGATGGGTAACCTTCGGGGAAGGTTATGCCATCAGATCTTGTTAGTGTAGATGCATATCTATACATTAGGTGATGTGAGATTGTGGATGGCTATGCCGCCAAATCTCATAGATGCATCGGTTGTGGGGTTATAGCATGGCTATGCCGCTAAACCTCGAGTGCATACTAACATGGTGGTGCGTGAGGCCCATATGTTGAGTATGACTCCGATGTGGAAAGATCACGGACGGCTGAGCCGCCAGATCTTTCAAGGTTCTTGTGGGTACTCTTCCGAGGCAAGGGAAGCTCTGCCGCAGAACCGGTGGTACGAGGCATAGTGGTGCGTAAAGGCCCATATGCTAAGTACTGAGAACATGTGGCGTGTCTAACCACATGTTGTCTAGGAAGGTGTAGTCAAGCGCATTCTCGCACGTCAGAGCCCAACCGGATTGGTGATGTGCGGATCAGGTCTTCCCTTTTCCTATCCCTGATTCTGCAAGTGCACAGATCAAAAGTAGTAAACGGGTATCGAACACAAGGAGCAGATAAGTACACTTCGAATATGCAAGTCTAATTAGCTAGAAAACAAGTATGATTTAGGGTTTTGATTGTGTAAAAAGTAAATCAAACAGCAGATTAAACGGTTTATGAAAATCAATAGAGGGAAACGCTAGGCAATGAGAAACTCGCAGAGATTCAAGGTTAACAAGATATTAGAAGGTTTGCTAGGGTTTGCGCTATCTAGAACTCAGGTCACGATTGTATGATCTTTCCACTGTCGAGGCTCCGCCCTTTGTTAATCTACCTAGTCGCTAAACTTTTGGTATGTCCCTAGGTGATTAAATCAAGCATAGTTAGGTTCAAGACAAGTTCACATAGATAGATCAACTTTCGCAGTCTAAGAAACCTAGCTTGTCAAAGAATATGTCCGGCGAATGATAGCACTGTCGAGGCTCAAATCAACCTAAGATCGGATTACTAGATCGGTAAAGCAATCAGCATTAGTTAAGCAGAGGCAAAGACTCTATATAACCCTATTGATCTAAAATATCAAACCATGCAACTCATTGATAGTAACCCTAGCAACCTAACTAGTGGATTACTCAGACATGATCAAAGCAAACACACATAGAGATGAAGAAAACATGATTGCAATAAAACTTAGAGTAGGAAATCGAAATACAAGGCGGCTCTCTTTCACAAGAGGCTAAAAATCTATATATATAGTGCTAGGTCTTTCTAGAGGCGGCTTAGGGTTAAGCCGGGCTTGAAAATATGAAATTTGGGCTTCAAAAAGGGCTTCGGGTCGACCGCGGCGTTGGGACGGTCGTCGGGACGATCGGCCGGACATCGGGTGTGGCCGAGTCGGAACGGTCGGGGCCGGATGGATTCACGGTCGGCCGGCGTGGTCGGCGGATGAGATTTGGCCGATGAAATTCTCGGCCGGACGTGGGACGTTCTTTCCCGGCTCGGACGGATGCATCGGCCGTGGTACGAAGCGGGTTGCGCGGCCGCGAGGCTTGTTCCCCGGCTCGCGCGCATGGTCGTGCGCGGCGTGGCGTGGCGTTGTGAGCTTGGCCGACCGCGGGACAAGTTTCCCGGGTCGTTGCGTGATCGGCCGGTCGGTTTGGAACTTTGGCCGAGACTTCAGACGGACGGAATTTTGGCCGAGCGCGGAACATAGTTTCTCGGCCAGCCGGACTGCGCGGTTGGGCGCTGATTCTCGATAGAGCCGTCTGGACAGTCTTCACTCTTTTGGTTATAACTCCTTTTCTACTCATCCAAATTAGGCCGTTCCAGTTGCGTTGGAAAGTTAACTCAATCAGAGCACGCAGGGAACTGGTCTTGATGAAATCCATTGAGTAGATCTTTTTCTGGGCCCTCTTAAAGTTGGTGCTTGTGCATGGAGCGGCTTGAAGTGCAAATCCTATGGTTTTGCTCCAAAATGCATCATTTCACCTGTTTAGACTCTAGACACTATAAACACAGTAAAACTACCTTTTTAGATAGAAAACCTGCCAAAAACCATTAGAAAACAATGCTAAAACAGTATAAAAAGTGGGTAAATTAGAGGTATATCAACTCCCCCAGACTTAGATCTTTGCTTGTCCTCAAGCAAAAAGAATCTAAATCCGTGAAAGAGGTTTGAAAACGTGGAAGCTCCCTTGCTCTTTTGAATATCCTGTGAAAGGTTCCTTTCCTGTATTCCACTATGAACATAGACAACATAAGGTTAGCTTCACATACACCCTGCAAGTTTAGCGAACAATACCAACCCAACTAGTCTCATCCAGCAATCCAAACTCTCTATTGCTAACCTCTTGCATAAATTTAAAGCGTGAATTCTTTATCAAGGGGACATCGATCAATTGAACTTGTTCTTACCCACTTGATCTCTCCAAGATTGCCTCTTTAAGTGCAATGAGTTCTTTTCCTCTCTCTTTCTCACATCAGAACTTTGAAAGGTCAATTTCTCCCTACTTTTCTAGGGTATCATTTTATTTTTTCTATTGACCCTTCTTTCAACCACAGGATAAGTCTTTAGCTTGTTCCTTGTTTGACTAAGGTATTCCATAAGACATGAAGGTACAGACATATGCATTCCTCATGCTTACTTGTTTTCCTTGTGCTCTTTGAGCTTTTTCTCATAAACATTACTTACCATTTGGGATGGGAGAGAGAGGAGAACTCTTTAAAGATTAGACAAATCTTATTGAAAATCAAGCAAGGAACTGTCGACATGTATGCCAACCCCCTTGACAAGAGTGATTAAGATTGATTAAGGTGAGGTTAACTCTAGATTGCTTGGTTACCTTAGAAATTTTGCTGAGCTAGCATGTCGATCCACTGTAAGAGCTTCTGTTAGGCTTGTGCCTTTAGCTGGTTTCTGCTCTAGGGTCATGGATTGTTAGCACAACACTCTCAATTCTCAAAGCAAGTTCATAACTTCCGGACTGGTTTTTGACTCAATAAAACTTTTTGAAAAACATGAAACAAAGTGAATAAAACATAAGAAAAGAAAGAAAAATGCATTAGTAACACAATAAAACTCCCCCCAGACTTAACTTGCACCGTCCCGGTGAAAGCAAATCACATTAAGGTGAGAGGTAATATTCAAAACAAAAGAAAATTAAAGAAAGAAAATGAAAAGAAATGACCTTCAATGGGTTGCCTCCCATTCAGCGCTTTGTTTAAAGTCATTAGCTTGACTGTATGGCACTTCCTTAAGGATCTGGTGGATCGCCAAGAGCTAGTGTGGTCTCCTGTGGTATGGTGGTGGAAGCTAGGTAGGTTTTAACCTTTGTCCATTGACTGTAAAGTCTCCTCCCATTGGGTCCCATAGTACCACTGCTCCATAGGGGCGAACTTCTTTAATCCTGAATGGTCCTGACCATCTTGAGCGAAGCTTTCCTGGAAAGAGTTTCAACCTTGAGTTGAATAGTAGAACTTGGTCGTTTGGCGCAAAGTTCTTTGGGATGATCTTGCGGTCATGGAAAGCTTTGGTTCTCTCCTTATAGATCTTTGAATTCTCATAAGCCAGATGCCTAATCTCATCAAGCTCATTCAGCTGAATCAATCTTCTTTCTCCTGCTGTCTTTAGGTTGAAGTTCAACTCCTTAATAGCCCAAGCTGCTTTGTACTCCAGCTCCACAGGTAAATGACATGCTTTACCATAAACAAGATGAAAGGGGGTGGTACCAAGTGGTGTTTTGAAGGCAGTGCGGTATGCCCATAGAGCATCATCTAGTTTGGCACTCCAATCCTTTCTTGTCTTGCCTGTTGTCTTCTGAAGTATGCTCTTGAGTTCTCTGTTTGAGATCTCAACTTGTCCACTAGTTTGGGGGTGGTAAGGAGAGGCAACTTTGTGAGTGACTCCATGCTTCTTCAAAAGGTTGGCAAAGATTCTGTTTATGAAATGTGAACCTCCATCACTTATGACTATCCTAGGCACTCCAAACCTTGGAAAAATGATGGATTTAAACATCTTGATGACCACTTGTGCGTCATTAGTAGGGCTGGCAATGGCTTCCACCCATTTGGAGACATAATCAACTGCCACTAGAATGTATTGGTCACCAAAAGAGGTTGGGAAAGGTCCCATAAAGTCAATGCCCCAAACATCAAAAACTTCAACTTCTAGTATAAAGTTCTGTGGCATCTCATTCCTCTTGCTTATATTTCCCATTCTTTGGCAAGCATCACATCTTGATATGAATGCATGAGCATCCTTAAACATTGTTGGCCACCAAAATCCAGCTTGTAGGACCTTGGATACTGTCTTGTAAGTGGCAAAGTGCCCTGCATAGCTAGAACTATGACAAGCAAACAATATTCCTTCTACCTCTTCCTCTGGTATGCATCTTCTAAACATTCCATCTGAACATTTCTTGTATAAGTAAGGTTCATCCCAGTAGTACCTTCTTACATCACGCAGAAACTTCTTCTTTCTGTAGCCAAAGAAGTTTGGTGGTGGGTATTCAGCTGCAAGGAAGTTTGCTATGTGGCGAAACCATGGTGTGTTTGATGATGAGATCTTTGTTCCTGGCCTGTGATGGCTTAGTTGTCCATGCTTATTGCTAGCTTCAGCTGCATAAACTGTTTCTTCAGGTAGCCTATCATCAAGAGGTAGATTTTCTTCAACTCTCATCCTTGAAAGGTGATCAGCTACTCCATTATCTGCTCCTCTTCTATCCTTGATCTCAAGATCAAATTCTTGCAATAGTAGTATCCATCTCAGCAATCTTGGCTTGGCATCTTTCTTGGATAAGAGATACCTTAATGCTGCATGATCAGATGAACTATAACTTTGATCCCACCAAGTATGATCGAAATTTCTCAAATGCAAAGACAATAGCAAGAAGCTCCTTTTCTGTTGTGGCATACTTGCATTGTGCCTCATCAAGTGTTCTGCTGGCATAGTAGATCACATGTAGCTTCTTGTCTTTTCTTTGTCCAAGCACTGCTCCTACTGCATAATCACTTGCATCACACATTATCTCAAAAGGTAGTTCCCAGTTTGGAGGTTGAACCACTGGCGCACTGACCAATGCCTCTTTGATCTTAGTGAAAGCCTTGTGACACTCCTCTGTGAACTCAAAGTTAATATCCTTGCATAATAGGCGTGTTAGCGGCCTTGCTATCTGTGAGAAATCTTTAATGAACCTCCTGTAGAATCCAGCATGTCCTAGGAAGCTTCTGATATCTTTGACTGTCTTGGGCGGCTGAAGGTTTGTCATTACTTCAATCTTGGCCTTGTCAACTTCTATGCCTCTCTCTGAGATTCTATGTCCAAGCACTATTCCATCTCTAACCATAAATGGCACTTCTCCCAATTTAGAACTAGGTGCTTGTCTTCACATCTCTGTAGCACTCTTCCAAGATTTGCCAAACATGATTCAAAGGAAGAACCATATACTGAGAAATCATCCATGAAAACCTCCATAATCTCTTCTATTAGATCTGTGAATATGGACATCATACACCTTTGGAATGTAGCTGGAGCATTGCACAATCCAAAAGGCATTCTCCTATAAGCATATGTGCCATAGGGACAAGTGAATGTAGTCTTCTCCTGATCATCTGGGTGGATTGGAATTTGGAAAAATCCTGAGTATCCATCCAAGAAACAGTAGTATTGATGATTGGCAAGGCGCTCAAGCATCTGGTCTATGAATGGCAAGGGGTAGTGGTCCTTGCGCGTGGAGGAGTTCAGCTTTCTGTAATCAACACACATTCTGTGTCCTGTGATTGTCCTTGTTGGAATGAGCTCATCATGTTCATTCTTGATGACTGTGATCCCTCCTTTCTTTGGCACACATGTACAGGGCTGACCCATGCACTATCTGATATTGGATAAATCACTCCAGCCTTCAGTAGCTTCATTATCTCCTTCTTGACAACTTCCTTTAGGTTGGGTTTAGCCTCCTTTGGTGTTCAATTGAAGAACTAGACTCATCCTCCAGGATGATGCGATGTGTGCATAGTTCAGGTGAGATTCCTGTTAAATCATCCAAAGAAGTAACCAAGAGCCTTTCTATGCTTTCTCAGTTCGCGAACAAGTAAAGCGGTCTCTTCTTTTGTTAGTGCAGCATTAACAATAACAGGATATGTTTCATTAGGACCAAGATATTCATACCTTAGACCAACTGGGAGTTGTTTAGCTCGGCTTTTGGAGCTCTAAGTGGGCACCATGGGTCGAACTTAACCTTGGTTTGTGATGTTTCCTGACCTTGTCAATGTCTGGCTCTTCCTCTTCTCTCTCTAAGTCCATATAAGCTATCAGCTCTTTGTAAGCT